CTGGTTTCTCCTTGCACTGCTCCATCTAGTCTCTGGCCCAGTGCTCTGAAAAAGGTTTCACTGCCATGTGACTGAGCAGGATAATTGGTGTGAGGCCCTCTGGGTAAAGACCAATGGTCACACAAAGGCTTTGTTTGCTACCAATTAGGCCAAAAAGAAGTAAGAAGAAAAAAAAAGAAGTAATCTGCACAGGCTGGGAGTTTTTATGAAGGACACAGCTGAGACCGTGTCACCAGTGTCAGGCTGGGAGATGCTGCTGTTACAGGCCGTCCTCCGGGGGGCATCACTCGACATCTCCTTCTTTTCCCCCCACGCAGGTAAGTAAAACGCTGCTCTCCACAGCATGAATAGACTATTCAAGGTTACATCAGGTGATACTGGTCAGCCAGTTAACCGTTTCCGGTCTGCAGGACAACATGCTCAGGTGTCCATACTGTTAATAATTAAAGTCTTTGCTGAATAAACAGGGAAATTACTTCGCATATGTTGCTATGGACGGTAAGATGGGTCTAAAGAGTTGATTCAGACAGTGTGCTTTAGGCCTTTATTAAACTCACACGGAGATGGAGATTCAGCTGTGCAGTGATACTGTCTTAAACAGGTTCCTGTTTTGCAGATGACAGAGATGGAAATACTGAGGCGACAATGTCGAGGTAGGTACGAGACTCCTCATCTGTAGCGCTAAAAAACAACAACAACAACAAAAAAAATGTACAGCCCTAAATCTTAAACCTGGATATCTTTAATCACTGTGTCAGTTTGGTTTTTACTTTACTCTGTGAAATACTGTAAACCAGCAATCATTCAGGGAAGAAACCGGAAGTTACATGAAAAAAGTTAAATAGGCTACATTATGATAGTTATGCAAAAATCCCAATATATACAACACTTTTTGTGTTTTACACTTACTTTAGCTTAAAATGCTCCTTTTTTCTATTCTTTTCTCTTTGTCTCTGTTCATTACCACAGTGGGTTTAAAGCAGAACAATACAGATGTGAAATGTACACTTCCATCTTTAGTACAGAAGCTTCATCACACTCTGAATTTCCTTCTTTTATAGGCTTTGCCAGACCTATACCACCTTCAGTTTTGTCTTTACTTGGTGAAAGACGTGGTCAGGTGACTGACTCTGATGTTTAAGAGTATTCTCTTTATTGGCATTAAGAAGCATTGGGCTTCAGCAGGAAGTATAAGAAGATGTCCTGCTTCTGGTCAATAAACAGCAGTGACCCAGTTCAGTTGGCAGTCAAACAGGCCCATGTTGTCACACCACCTCTGTGTTTTCAAGGGGTCTGTTTTGGATCACGACCCCATTCGAGTCTTGTTTTCCCATCACTGTGTACAACTTTGGGCCAAGTTCATTGGTCCAAAGAATTTCTTTTAGAACTAGATGTTTTCCAGCGACTATTTTGGCATGTTGTTTGCATCTCTTTAATTGTAGACTTTCACAATAAATACACCAAAAGCCTCAGAACTGCTGTTGATTTGGTTAGATGCTGTGAAGTGGTTTTCCAAGTAAAAGATTCTGTAATCACCCTCTTTACTGCATTGTTGATTTGGCCACTTCGGAAGCTTCCTGTCTCTCTGATAGGTCAGTTTGGTATTTTTCTGCCTTATGGTAGCCTTCTTTAGCCTTCTTTGCTTGGTCTGATGCCTCTTTGTGCCTCTATGTTATGAATTCTCATTCTCAACAGCTGCCGAACTTAAACAACTGGAATCAACTCCAGACTTTATATGCCAATAATGTGGAAACAGACCACACATGGCTCAAAGCTGCATGTAAACTGTGTAAAAATGAACAGACCTTATAAAAAAAGGTTTTAAACCTGTTTCTTAAACCCCTTGAGTTAAAGTTTAAAGTGTACAATTAAATCACTTGCTGATTACATCAGGTGTTGGTGTCCATACACGACACTGTGTGAAACACTTAAAGACCTGACTTCAGGTAACACATTATTAGAGTAACACTAAAGAAAAAAGCACTGGGTCACCTACACATTACATTAACAGGAGCTGCCTGGCCATGGAAACCCCGGCCACGAAGCTCCCAGCACACAGTTTTGGTGCTGATGTTAATGCCAAATGAGGTACAGAGCTATGGACTTATCAGAGCATCGGCAGCTTTTACATGCTATCCGCCTCACTCGACTCCAGTCTGTAAACTTTACGTGGTTTGCTTGTCATGCCTAAATGTTTTCCACTTTACAGTAATACCGCTTACAATAGATCAATTGATTATCTTGAAGGGAAGAAAATTTCACAAACTGCCTGATGACTGACCAAAACAAATGTAAGAACAAAAAATTGCTTCCCTTGTGTTCAAACAGTAGCACAGCCATACTCTCATCCATCACAGTGGCACAGCTGTGGTGTTTGTGATGATATGGCTGAGGTTAATTTATAATTAATTATAAATAAGAAATTATAATTCATTTAAGACTGATTACTTAGATGGTGATGGTGCCTTTTTGTTATTACGGTTGATCCTTTGTGTATCCAAAGATGTCAATCAGGGATCATTAATCATGCAGGTGCACCGCTAAGATTAAAGATGTTAATGTTTAAAATAAATGCATTTGTGTCTGCTTGTGTGAGGCTTTGGCCTTCCAGGGTGAGAACAAGGGCGAAATGCTTCAGGCCTGACTCATAGCTAGTGGAGGTTTACCGTAAAGCCTCTTCATATCCCCTTAAAAGGGATTATTGGTTTTTTCCCCTCTCCATAGACTTACCAAAGGGGTTTACCCAGCGGACTTCCCATAAGGCTCTGCCACAGAGGGTGGAATTGTGCGAGTTTGATGGAAGCAGAAAATTAGATTACTGCCTTTCACTCTGTACTGTTTCTGGTGACAAAGATGTGCTGCAGCCGGTCACGTCATGTGCAGCTGTTACCGCCTCAGACCTACACTTAGCATTATGTAGATGCACAGAAAATGTGCCCGATGAGCAAAGGCAGAGCAGGGTAGTTTTTCCAAATATAATCACCGTGTTACTATGCACATACTCCTGTTTTGTAACTGAAAATACCATGTACCACTGTGTATCAGACACAGCATCCCTTTTTTAGCTGTGCTGACAAGAATGGTAAACAAAGGGTAACCTGAGCACTGCAATCGAAGAGCAGCGGTGTCCTGTTCTTAAGCGCTATTTCATTGTATCTCCTGCCCATTTAAAGAAATTCTCGTTGCCTTCTGGCAGTAAAAAAGAGCTCGAACAAGTCTTTATTGATCAGCTTTGGTTCTCATTTATGTATTTACATTGTTTATTTATTAAGTAGGCACCGAGCGGTTTAACACAGTTCCAGTACAGAGCATAAAACTGATGCTGAGCTGAAAAGAGACATTTTATAGCTGATGCTATTTTTAACCTTAGTTGGCTTCCACAAATACATTGTATAATTTAAATGCTTTAATGGTCACTATTATGCCGATAATCACTTAGCAAACATGTCAAGTGGAATGCAAGAAAAAAAAAATCAATAAATTGATCTTGTTCTCTTTCAGCATCTCCCAGCCTGTTTTTTTTTTTTCTTCTCTTAGATGCTTTAAAACTTTGCTCAGTCTATTTTGTGATCCCTCGTCATAGATTGTACCTGTCTACAAATTATAGTCAGAAAAGTTTTATTCAAGAAATATAATACCAGTAATTGTGTAGGAGATTAAATGAAGGCATGGTTGTTTGGAGCGGCTGTTTCAGCTCCAAGTACACGCGTGGAGAGAACCTTTTGTGTCTAAAAATGTTTTTAATTTGCACAAAAAACTGAAGAAACATGCTCTCTATGTTTTTAATTAGTTTGTTAAAAAATTACAGTCATATTGTGTTCCCCCCCCCCCCCTTATTTGCTACTGCTGTAGTGATTAATCAAAATGTGACAAATGCCCATATTTGGGAAAACGTTCAAAATGAGGAACGGTATAAAAATGTTAGAAACTTCTACGTAGTTGGTGCAAGTGTCGGCTTGTGTTGGGGCACTTTCCAGCTCCTGGAATATGTAGCATTGTGGTTTTTCAGGTGAAACTGATTATTATTAGTATAAAGTACTGATCCAGGCACATTTTAAATGCTTAAACTTAGACTAAAAAGCTGAAATACTTACATATTTGTAGTCTTATATACTTATAGCCTGGGAGGGTTCTTTTGTCTCTGGAGGCTCTGGATATCTTTGTCATATTGCTTTAAGGTTTATAAGGCTGTAGAGCATCAGAAGCTGTCTGAACGAGTGAAGCAGCAGCAGCTCGGTGTGTAAAGGACATTATGAGCTGAGTGAAGATAGGCAGAAACCATGTGACTTAGAAACTGTCACGGACTTCCTGGTTACTGGGCTGCAACAGGGGATGCTTCATATCAGCCACCATTATGAGTGGCTACATCTGCCACCTGAATATTTAACAGCACTGTGCATCAGGTTGCAGATTACTAGTGAATTATTAATCCCTATAGATTGGCATGAACTAGCCTGGAGCGTTTTGTGGTGAGGCAGTGGCAAGCACGTTCACAGTAGCAGGTATGTCTCACTTACAGCTTTATCATCTGCACTTTATTAATTTTAAATGAGTTATGAATAGATTTAAGCGAGTGAGCTAACATGTGGTATGTTTTTGATGGATTCTTTTCAAAAGGTAGGTTTTGGGGAGGGTTTGTTGCTCAAATTGGGTGAGATCAAAGTTCTTGTGCTTCTTGTAAAGTTCTAAAAATATAATATTTACACATTAATCACTAAATTAATTGCACATTTAACAATAATCTGCATACAGGCTAGTTGGAGGAAAACGTTGCAGATATCTCAGAGAAAAGCTACTGTAGAGAAATATGAGCTGTCTGTTATAGAAAAAAATAGAAGGTGTGGTGGCAACAAGTGGCAGGTGATGTTACAGTACTTACAGAACTTGCAGTAGACATCCTTAAAGAAAAAATATATTATTAAATCTCTATTATTAAAACTGAATGACTGTAATTAGTCTTTACTGCTACTTACGTAAATTCCAACAGTGTGCTCCACTTATGTGGGCAAACTAACTTTCTATGTGATGAGATAAAAACATTACAGCTCATGGGGGGAAAACTCTCCACTTTGATGGTTTTGCAAAGAAATGTTGATTGATGGGTAAGACAACATATTTGTTTATAAATAGTAATATATAAGTGATCTGGTATATTTGTATTTAAATGTGTGATGTGAAAAAACTCATAATTACAGCAGGCACTTTGGCTTTTTCTGCGATCACATGCAGCTCCTTGAAGGACACTCTGAAGGGTGTCACTCTGTGCTGCATGTCTGTGCGTCTCTGCAGAATCGTGGTATATCCATCTAATATCAGTTAGCATGCCATTGCTCACGGTGCATGCACAACATTTCATAAATCTGTCCTCATGTGTGAGTTGCTGCGCCCCTGAGGGTTAAACATCATTCACTGTTTTTCCCATCAGTATGCGAACTTCCCCAGCCTTTCTCAGGGTCATACAACCTCCGTGATGCATAACGCATTTATGACAAAAGGAGCATTCGTGGGATTGCACACAAACATCCCTCTCCATCACGCTTATCTGGATTATGTGTCGTTTTGTAAAAATAAGATTCATGCATCCCGACGTGGCTGTATCACTTGCTGATCCATCATGTTATTTGTTCTCAGCTGTTTTGACACTTAATCCTTTGCATCATTGGCCATATATGTTGTATTTTGCCACAGAAGCATCACATGTTGACTACAAGGATGATTTACATTGGTGTTTTCCATTCCCGTTGGTCATTAGTGCTGAAGACGTGCAAACGCTTTATAGTTTTATACAACAGTTTATTTGGAGGTGTGGCAATGCTTCAGTGTTCACTCAGGACAGCGCTTCTCAAGATAATCTCTGACCAATCCGATTGATCTTTAGAAGATTGCACTTCTTAGTGTGCAGTGACAAGGTCCCTGTGGAGAGGGCTAATTCAGTAGCTGTGGGAAATGCCACTTGTTGCCTGTCCTCCCATGGAGGCCATTCCTGTTGCTACTGGTGTTGTTATATTATGATCGCCAGAGAGTCTTTGGTTGTAATTCTTCTCAGCCCAGATGAGTCAGGAGAAAATAACACTTGCCATGTAAGTAGAGTGTTGTCCTCTCCATCCATATCTGTGGACTTATTTTGCTTTGATTTGTCCAGGTCGATGCAGTCATTGGTTTTAGCTGAACAAAAATGCCTCAGGGAATAAATGTACTCTGTGTGCTTTACCTGCACAGTTTATAGGTTTTAATTACTTGCTGCTCTGTCACGGTAAGGTTCAACTGTTATTCACAACAAGCATCCTTTCTGCAAGACGAAGTAGTGAAGGTTTTAAGGGAATTAACATTTCCATTTGTTTCTGTAAACTTTGCAAATTATTCAAGATTTATTTTTAAAAATCTTGGTATGACTGTTTTTATTGTCCAGGAGATCACTATATGGACTGTACCCCTACAAGTCCAGCATGCTTGGACTGGAGACTCTGGGCGATCCATCAGGTGACTGGGATATAGTGGAAACCATTGGCAAAGGAACTTATGGAAAAGTCTACAGAGTGACCAACAAAAAAGATGGGAGTCAGGCAGCAGTGAAAGTACTGGACCCGATTAATGTAAGTCCGATCAAAGTGTGTTTACTGCTGGACCCGGCTTCTTGTTGACTGTTTTCAATCTCACAGAACTGGTTAGGGTTTAGATGCAGTATCTGTTCAGGCTATTTTTGCAGAATAGTAATGATGTGTATGTATGATGTCAGAAGGTTTGAGGTGTATGAGTTTATGCTGATGCTGTTTGGCAGCGAAGTAATGGTGATCTTAAGGTGTTTTGACTGTTGTGGGAGTAGATCTAGCTCTGGATGAGCGCCCATTAGCTCAGTGGTTCCCAGCTTATCTGGTTTATAGCACCCTGAAATGACACTATTTGATTTAACCAAGACAGCAGGCAGAAAGAACAAATGAATGTTTGCAAATGCAGAAGAAATCTGTTGAACAACTCCTCACCTGACTGCCATGACCTTTGTGATTATGTGATTATGAGAGGAATATGCTTTGTAGATTTGAGCTTTTGCTGTTTGCCCTTCCTGGTGCTACCCCCAAGGGATTTGTGTTTCCTCTTGGTCTTGAACCAGGGATCATTTGCATGTTAGGTGTAGGTAGTGCATGTGTAGGTAGTGTAAACCACTACCTACACATGCAGTTAAGACCATGGAAAATTCAAATACCTGAATTTCACTAAACTTGGTGCACAGACTTCTTGGATATGAAGATAACATATAAACTGCACAGCAGTTATTCGTCAGATAATTGCATTTCAATAAGAGAGAGATCATTTGGAAAAATAAATTATTTATTCAAAGACAGAATTTGAATAAAAGCTATTTGGTGATCAGACTCAGATGAACCATTCCAGCAGAGCGGACACCCATCAGTGATAGAAACTGAAGATGAAGATGACAGGTTAGATGGGGCTCCGAGAGACTGGGGTAAAAAAAATAATTATAGTTGAGGTCTAACCGACCACCTGTTTAGATACCCACATGTTGCTCAAAGGAACCACACGTGACTTTAAGTCTTAATACAAGTTAAGCAGCTGAGTTATAGAAGAATGTATCCCCATGGAGTTGTCACAAAAGGGAGAATTGGAGACAAATCCTTTTTCTTTTTGAAATGTCACTGTCAGCCTCCTAGATTCACTTGCATGGCAGTGGACCGTGCTGTTAATTGAATCTGAGGGCTTTGACCCACATGTTGGGAACCACTGATTTAGATTAGGGCATGCTAATGTAACGTGTAAATACAGCCAGTTCTGCCAGGTGTTATCTCATAGCTAAACAAAAGCATAACTAAACCTGCCTAAAACTCCTAAGAGGTTTAATTACTCTGCAAATCCATTTTTAAACACTTTCTTTAGTTGAACCTGCACCTTTTTTATTGTTTGTTACCTTCTATGGCCTTTTTTGGCTCTTTGTACATCACTCACAAGCCTATCCTGTAGAAGTAAAACTTAGCTTAAAGATGTAATTTAACTGCTGGCTTTATGCACATTAAACCTCCAGGTTTTCCCGATGAATGATATGATATTTGACATTGCATGTATGGCTCACTGTAACCTTTTATTATATAGTGTTGGTGAGGAAGTTTCTACCTTGCAGGACCTCATAATACTGCGACAGAAAACTAAAACCACTGTGTTTTTCTTTGTAACCAACTTGTCTCAGCATTCGAGCCATTCAAACAGAGTAAGTTGCCGGTACTTTCCCCCCTCTCCATCTTGATGCAGTCGTACTTGCACTTGCTCCTGTGATATATATCAATGTCTCCCCTTTTCATTTATTTCCTGTCGTGCTAAATTTAACGTGCTCTTACCAGAAACTGTAGCTCCTGCATCGCCTGTATCCTCTCTGTATAACCGTCCATTTGTTTGCGTGATAAGGATACTGTAGACTCTGAATTGGCAGCATATTGTGGGAGTGTGACTCGGTCTGAGGCGAGCCTGTGATTGTGTCAGTGGAACAATCCCCATCCTGGCAGCGCTATCCACCATGATGCGCCCCTGATGGCCATGAAGATGAAGCTGCCTCCTCTCCCATCCCTCTCCCTGATTAGACTGCTGACACTATCACTCAGACATCCAGGAAGAGAAATTCTGCCTCTCTGACTGTTGATCTTCCCTCCCACTGAGATTTACTTTGATAGAAAAGTGCTTCCAGAAATAGTTCAGCACAGCGGCCCATCCCTTCTTTTTTTACCGAGTTTATAACCCCAATTTTAGGTTTCTTATTATAGTAGCCTAGTTCACTAAAAATGAAACGCAGCCTGAAATATTGAAGCACAAATACACCTTTTATAACACATCACAGTATTGATTTATCTCTTTCCTTGCTGTACTTAAACACTGCTTGTTTGCTGATGCTGTTTAAAGGATGTGGATGAGGAGATTGAGGCAGAATACAACATACTGAGGTCCCTGCCCAACCATCCTAACGTGGTGAAGTTTTATGGCATGTTTCATAAGTCGGACAAATTAACTGGCGGACAGCTCTGGCTGATACTGGAGGTGAGCACTTTATTATGTATATTTGTATAACACGTGTTACACTTTTCATACTTTATGAAGGGCTTATTGTCAGTTCTCATTAATGCAACTGTGGTTGGGAAAATTATTGCGACCATGTTCTATAAACTGGCAATCTGAAGAAACTGAAGACAGGGACCAGGTCTGCCACAGCACACAGTTAGTTGCTGTCTTCAAAGTGACGTTGGTGTTTCAAGACAGCCATTAAAACAGTCACTCTGTCAGTCTGTTATCAGTATGTGATCTCATTGGCCCTGACAGGCTAAGATTAAATGTAATGTGTTGGCACTTATTTAGAAACTGGCTGACTGCAGTCTTTCTGAGTCAGACTGCGATTGTTAGGAAATAGTTTGCCTCCCGTCGAGCAACCTGTGCAATCGCTTTGTGATCAACAGCTAGTCTCCTTGCAGTCTGTTGCTTATAGCAAACAAATTCAGTGCAATCACCAAAGTTTTCATAGTTGCAAGGAGGTTGCTGTCTAGTTTTTACTCTAGTGTGATTGAGCCATAAGAGTTAGATCCTTATGTTTGTAGGTTAAATACGAATCTACACCATAGCCAGTTAGCTTAGCATAACAAAGGAAACAGCTAGCCTGGCTCTGTCTGAAGCTGTCTAAATCTGGCTCTCAGCCCCTTTAAAACTCGGTAAAGATGATATTCTGTCACTATTATTTAAATCCCTGCAAACAACAGTGTAGAAAGAAACAACACATTTTGGTTTTATTACCAGGTTTATACCACTTGGAAGCTTTTGCTAATGCTTTATGTCTGCTTTGGCTCAGTGGGAAATGGGCCATTTGTGTGTCAGGTGTACTCTTCAGTTCGTCCATAATAATGGTGGATAAAGCTGTCATTTACCTCAAAGACCACCCATGTCTCTGACAGTCAACAAAACGGCAGAAAGGAAGAAGCGTGCTAGTCAATAATAGCATTACAAGTTTCAGAAACAAAGAAAATGAGAGAGAAAAACACGTTATTAGGCCTGAGGGATACACAGTGTGAGGTTGGTGGGAAATGCCAGGGTTATTCCAAGCTTCAAATTAACCATGCATGTATGCACAGTTAGTGCAATGATTGTTATACCAAACAATCTGTTACCTGGAGTGTCTTTTTCCTGTATTTCGTCACAATTTCATAATCAAATGGCTCAAGTACATAAAACCCCTATTTAAAAAAATGAAGTTTAAAACTCTTAAATCCTTTTTCACATAGACCGGTGACAAATTAAAGGAAAAACATTAATCCACTGTGGCTCACAGTCTGAGAAACCTGGGAATTAGTTATGCCAGCAGAGACATTTTGCTGGGATAGCTTTTGCCTTTAGTCAGAAGGTCAGTGCAAATCAATATAAAGTGTTCTGAGTTATCAGCTTTACAGCTTTTCAGGATCAGGATCACAGTGACTGGTTTGATTAGAAGTCACCAGTTCTTAACCTGTTTGAATGCTCTGAGACGTTTTGGAGTGATGTGTTAGGTTAGCTGATTCACAGACATGAAGAATCTTTGCATATTGAAGCTGCTCGCTGACCAAGTACTGACCAAACACAATAACACCATACTGAGACACTTTATGTTGGTTTACCCTTTAATTTGTCGCTTTTCTGTATATAAGAAAGCATTGATCTGGGTCTCAGTTAGCCAGGAAACACCACCTACACGAATGTCAATGCTATTGTGCTGCTCTGCTTTCTCTAACTTGTGTGTGTGGGCTAGCTCTTTCCATGAATCATAATCTGGGGTGGTGAGTGATGGACGAGTCACTGGAGTTTCTCTGTCTCCCTCCCAGCTGTGCAACGGCGGCTCTGTCACAGAACTCATCAAAGGCCTGCTGATGCGTGGCCAGCGTCTGCAGGAGCCTGTTATCGCATACATCTTATGCAGTGCCCTCTTGGTAAGATGGCCCTCTGCAAAGCTGCAAATGCAGGGGGAGGAGGTGGGACACCAACATGCAGAGAGCGGGCTGAGGATTTATTTTCAGCTGGGGAAGTGTGACAAGCAGTTATGAATGTCTCTCCTTACGAACAGCTGTGGGAGTTCTTTTATCTAGTTTGTACAGCTCAACTTTTAATGCATCATATGCAGATTTATTTTTTTTTTTACGCAAATGACTAATTGTGTGTCGCGATTCATGCTCAGCAGCACCTTGCATTATCTGTCCTCTAATTTAAAAGGGTCTCCAGCATTTGCACAACAACCGGATTATCCATCGTGACGTCAAAGGCAACAACATCCTCCTGACAACTGAGGGAGGAGTCAAACTGGTTGACTTTGGTAATGATCTTTGAAAGAGGCAATTTAGCCGCTCCAATCTTTTCTCTGAAGTGCGCTGTTATAGATAAATGACTCTTTTTTTGTGAGTGATCTTTTGGAAGTGTCAGCAACATTGTTTGTGAAGGCAAACACAAGCGCAGGATAAATCATTTAACCCACACTTTAGTCCCATGCTCACCATAACGTCTTTTAATTCATGGACCGTAGCCTTAGCCCGAAGCTATTATTGCTCATTTAAATTGCATTATTTGATCCTTTGCATATTAAAAGAAAGCTGCTATGGCAAATGACTTTGAGTCACCCCCAGGCATGTTTATGTCCCCTGTGTCATGGAGATGAAGTGGACTCACGCTGATAAAAATCTGTCCTACATAATTTGAAATGATTATAGCCCATTATTATTGCTGCTTGGCAGGTTGCCACACTAAATTATATGCCAGGATTTATTGATTAGTTCAAACATTTACTGTCTGCTGTAATTTATCCCAAGAAATATTCACGCTAATGAAGTAAGATTGAATTTTGCAATTCTTTTTCCATTTTTTTGTAGGTGTTTCAGCTCAACTGACGAGCGCACGACTGCGGAGGAACACGTCAGTCGGGACACCGTTTTGGATGGCTCCTGAGGTCAGAGTCTAAGGGCTGCACACGCATGTTCATGTCTGGTAATGCAGCAGTAAAACATGCACACGTGTTTTAGTGGCTAATGGATTCTTTTTATATACACGTACAGTGTGATGTAGCTGTTAAACAGAGCGCCTCAGTTATTTCCGTGTGACTCTCCCTCCCATGTGTCATTGTGTATTCCTCTCCACGGGTGCAGCTCTTGAGGTCGCCTCAAGGTTAATAGCTGGGAGTCTGTGGCCCCTCGGCTTACTCTTTTGGCAGAAATGAGGTGCGGTGATTGAGCTGGTAGGGAGGGACCTCGGGGGCAATTAGAATAAACTCAGCTGTAAAATGTAGTGTCAGTTATAATTATTGACTGTGGCAAAGAGAAGCTCGTACCCGGAGCTACTGCACTGACCTGCCTTTCAGTGCTTGTTTTTAAATGGGCTGTGAATGAGCTTGGCTGACTGTTTTTGGCATTAAGAGGATTTTTTTCAGGTTCACAATGCTTTTTTTGAAAAAAAAAAAAAAAAGTAATTTTCTTTGAATCATTAAGCTGAATTTAATACCCTAAACATCAAACAAAATTAATCTCACCCCTCTTTCTAGAAAAACAGACTTTCCACTCGGTGACTGTCTAAAATGGACCCTGTGAATTGTTTCCAGGTCATAGCCTGTGAACAGCAGTACGACTACTCCTATGATGCCCGCTGCGATGTGTGGTCTCTCGGCATCACAGCCATCGAGCTGGCAGACGGAGATCCCCCTCTGGCTGAGATGCATCCAGTAAAAGCCCTTTTCAAGATCCCACGGTGAGTCCAGTAGAGGGCGCTCCTGCCACACAGCTGGAGGCAGCTGCCACAGGGACATAAAAAAAACCTTTCCTTACTGTCAGGAGGAAAATTCTGAACTGAAATTTATGATCAAATGGATAAAAGGTAAAAATCACTGCGGCTTCTCTGACAACTGATTTTGTGCTGAATTTAGAAAATAAAAAGCTGAATCGGTAGGCTCTGCTTCACTCTCCCAGTTGCCGCTGCATTTTCGTCTTTGCTGTCTGAAAGGACGCATCTGCTGAATAATCAGTGTTTAAAATCTCCATCATCAGAAACGTAGAAGTGTTTGGCCTTAAAATTAATGCAGTGATTGAATCTGTAAAAATATTCACTGCTGGAAACCGTGTGTGTCTGATGATCATCTGAGAGCTTAGTGGCTACACGCAGTTGACCTTTTGTTATCAGTACAATCGCGCAATTATCTCTCAGTTAGGTAGAGATATGCCCCTTCTGATTGCAATTTGCATTGGTGATTAGCTCCATTCACATTGAGATGAGGCTGTCACCTCCTCCCAGTCACAATATTATCTCCTCCCTGCCAAGACTCGGGAGCAGGCCTTGTGTAGCAGGAATTATGGGAGCTAACGCAGCATTTCATCAGCACCAAATTTTAACCAGAATGTAAAATAATTATACGAGAAATTACAGCTGATGGCAGAGCGCATGGGTGAAGATTTTGTCAGGCTTTGACTCTGTAACACATTCGTAACTCTTTTTCTCGCTTCGGGATCGAGTTTGGAGGATTCATCATTCATGTCTTTATGTTTTGCACGGAAATAAATGCAATTATTTATTGAAATGTGCAAAAAATAAGTAAGGCAAAAACAGAGTTTGTACAATTCCAAGTTTGATTGTCAACACTTGGTTTGATCGCATTTTCTTAGAGCAGTCTTCAGGAATAGTTTTCCAGGCTTCTTGAATGATATTCAAAGCTCTTCTTTGGATGTCAGCTGCCTTTTGCTTCAATAATTTTGAGGTTTGGGCTCTGAGGAGGCCAATCCATGACTGATAGTGTCCCACTGTGTGCTTTTCTATTAATGTTTGCTTCTACTGCACTGGCAGTGTGTTTGCGATCATTGTCAGGCTGAAAAATAAATCTGTTGCAAATCATAAACCAGTCTCCGTGATGTTTTACAGACGGCTGTAGACACTCACTGTTGTACCTCTCACCTATACATACATATATATACATATAGATGAGAATTTGAGACAGAAATGTCAAATTCTTTCCTATTTTTTAAAGACACGACTTTCAGATGCTGTTCATCTGCTGTAGATGTTTTTTAGGCCTGCCATTTCGTCTTTTATCCCTCAGTTTCCTAATATTTGTAAGGACACACTGCACAACATGCTGTTATACATTTTAGGATAATGTCTCTTTGGGAATCACCTCGATAGTGCAAAAACTTTATTTTGGGCCTGTCAAACTGTGCCATCTTTGGCATATTTTGTCAATTCAGCTAAAGACATGGAAACAAAATATGTGTTTTTGTGACAGGCTGCTGGTAACAAAGGGCCTAAAGATGCACTTTAAAATGTTATGTGTAGATGCGACACTGGTTCATCCCTTGAGTTAAGCGCCTTTCAGATGCATGTATGATTCAGAGGTCAGTGTTAAGTAGCTTAGCAAAAAAAAATCCCAAAAGTCCTCTAAAAAATGATGAGGTACCACAACTGAACTGGACTGAAAATGAATATAAAAGCACCCAGTGTCCAAAGAAACGTTTTAAAGACCTTCACAAAGCCGGGACTGTTAGTCAAGACCACAAAAATTAAAAGAAAGTCTGGCTTCTTGGAGGCAAAATATAAAGAAACAAGTTGCAGTCATACTTCCCTATTAATCACCAGCCATAATATTAGACATTTCCATTTCACCAGACAGTTTTCAATCATTCCTTGAGGTTTCTTTGACCTTTCGCCCTTTATGAATAACTCTGATGATGATAGAATTGGAAACAAATACTTCAGTGACATTTCGTCATCTCTTTTCCAATCAAAATGTGTATTTTAGCTTTTTAGTGTAAAACGGGACCTTAAAGGTTTAGAAGTTGTTATAAATCACCACGAATGTGTCGAACCATGAAATGATTCTGTTAACATGTCATTTATCTTAAATATGTTTTCCCCCATTGCTGCAGCGGCGCAGGCAAAATCATGAGAAAAACCTTTTATGACTTTGTGAATAAGGAAATGAGTTTCACCTTTGGGTCTTCGGTGGCAGTGAGAGTGATTCATGAGGAAATCCAAGAGATTCATCGTCACAGGTTTCGATCAATCCACAAATTTTTTTTCCTTCTCAATTTAATACGTCACAAACTATTACTAGAGGAGCCTCTACCTGGAGTATTGTCCTTGAGTGGTGCATGTTTTATGAAACCTGTGTAAGCGCTAAAACATGTAATGAGCATTTTCATCTCTCTGGTATTTTACAGTTGCACGTAGTAATGTGTTTCCAGGCTAAAGGTTTCACTGTCGGGTAGTTAATCTTTTCTGTATTATCCACTTTGTCATTCTTTCTCAGCTGAAACACATCCAGATAGTAAAAAGGAAGACAAATATGCACGGTTGTGGATCACATTCCTTGCTTTCCTATGCTGTTTGCTGGACAGTCTCTCGAGTCAAGCTGTGGATTTAATTGCCCATGTGTGGGGCCACTCCTGAGCCCAGCAGCAGATAGCCATTATGTCACCGCTTTGGCCGTGCTTTTGGTGGAAATGATTCTCATCCCAGCAGGCTACCGTGGATGATAAGAGAAGCTCTGACAGCTGTCAGAGAGGACACTGATGAGCTCTATGAATTAGGGGCACCTTGGTAAATGGTCTGTTTGTGCGACAGAAAAATCACACACTTGATGAGTTGTGACACCCTGTTGAAGCATGCATATGCTTGTTGCTTAATTTCTAAATTGAACCCAAGGTGTCCATGATGCTTTTTTAACTATTACCTGCTGTTTTGAGTGCGTATGACAGATGTATGATGATCATGGTGACCATGAATGAAGGTAATGGAGCATGTCAGAGGACAAAGCTGTAAAATCAACTGCAAAACTAATTATAGATACTCAAGACGAAGATGGTGTCTGATATTTAATATGCGGAAAGGTTAATTGCTTGAGCCAGTGCTCTCGTTGCCACACAGCCTCACAGTTTCCATGTAAAGTCAAACCAAAGTGTGTGTAAAATACTTTGTAAAGCTTAGAGGCGGCTGGCAAAGATGTCCAAGGTTGTGTTTATTCAGCGTTACCCCTGTCGATATTAGCTACGTATTAGATAGTACATGTATGTGTCTGAGTAAGACCAGGACAAGCAGAATAAAAGTAAGTGATGGTTTGTCAGAGGCAACAAAGGCTAACACAATCATTCAGCTGAAGGAAAGATATCCAGACTTGAGTGCTGTTTTGTATTATAGTGTGTGCAGCAGAACAGATGTCAACAGAAGTGGTGTCCCCTATTGCTTTCAGGACACCATATTTTGAAGCCTTGGTGTCAGCGCTTTTTTCTGCCACCATGCTGGTCGTCTAAATATGGCAAACACTGCCATATTTAGACCAGAGGATGGAGTGCTAATTCAGCAGCTGATGCTAGCAAGCTCGATCAAGAAGCTGCATTCATAAGCTGCGTGGGTGGAGCGCACAGAAACAGACACCTGCTAATAAAGCAGGATATTAATACTAGTATTACTATTGCTATTTTACTCACCAAAAGTGCAGCATAAACCTGGTTATTTGCCAAATCTTAATTTAAAAAAACAAACTTTGAAAGCCACCACAGATAGAGACGAGAGGTCCACATGAGGAACTGGAACTGTTGTGGTTGGCGGCAGCAATAAGTTGAACTCAATATTAGTTTTATTTTTTTTGTAAATGTTCAAGGGAGATGGAGGTTATTGCAGCTGTCATAGGGCAAGAGGTGGGGTACACCCTGGACAGGTTACCAGTATATCTATAAAAATGTGGACTAGGTAAAGTAAAACCCCAACAGCTAATTAATCAATATTCCCATTTTTTCCCATTTTAGCCTCAGCCTATCCAAGCATACATTTACCTGTGTGAACAAATCACTCTCTGTTGTGGTGGCCATTGAAGGAACTGCAGCTTTGGCACTTTAGCTTGGCTTCATTTTTCAGTCCTGAAGGTTGGTGGTGGATATAGAAATGTTAGCATGTATGTGCCCTGTGCTGCAACCAGTGGTTAGAAATTAGTGAGGTTCCTTATTCCTCAAACTGTGCCCCAGTAGAAAAGGCCATTGTTCTGTAGAGACTAGGTCCTAAAGCTGCAACACAATCAAACCCAGAAATTTTGAAAGCCATAAAGGATTTTATTTTGTACAGCTTCCCTCTTTTGCAGGAGCAACAGTGTCTATAAAAATATGAACGCAGAGTGTTGTTTGTATAAAACAATGAAATAAAACAAAATGTCAAAATACAGATTATTCCTTCCCCTGAAATTAAAATAGCACAAGGGAGAAAATTGCTTACTCAATGGCTCGCTGTCCCTCTGATTCCTCATGAGTTATGCATTGACCTGACCTCCTAAACGCCAAAACAGAGGCCAACAATTCTCCAATTTTTCCTAAAGTCTTTTCAAAATAAAAGCCGTCTAGGTTGTCAGACTGTCCAAGTGATTTGTACAAATTTCTACTGTATTATTTAAAAGGTCCAGACTTTGGTAGCCTCGTAGCTTGTTATGACAATGATCTGTGCCTAATGCTATTTTTTTATTGCAATAACTGCTGATGAACATTTAACAGGTTATGGAGCTAAGACTGAGAGAAAACGCATCCATCCTTAGTTGCTTTCTTAGCTCAAAATCCCTCATCCACCAGCAAAAATGAAACATTTTACATGTGGATGATCAGGGTTGAAAACCTCCCACATTTTCTGTCACAGATGACTGGCAGAAATAATGCTGAATTTTGAAACCGTGTACTCCACCGATGTTTTATCAAATCGCTCATTGTTACTGTAAAAAACCTGCCACATCGCCTTGATTTTTCTATATTGGCATTTTATGTAGGAAAAAAAGTCAGTGTAGTGAAGTAATTGTACACTTAATGTTCCAAATTTCCCATTATCTGACACTGACAATCCCTGACAGGAAATCACTGTCTGGTTGGATGACTTTCCAATCACGATTAAAGGCTTCTCATATCTCCACCTTTGATGCAGTTATCTTACTGTCTCTGTGTACTGTCCTGGACTGGAGCACTGGTGATGTAGCTACCAAGGACATGATAAATGTAGCTGTAGTTTTTCAGTGTTCATGCATGTATGCTCAAAGAAGTACTGGTGCTGTGGCGGCAGTGATGGATGAGCCAAAATTTTAAGTATGTGCTCCATTCGCTGAATAAGTCTTTATTTGGGGCCCTGGTACTCCTTCTCTGTTAAGCTTATATAAAGGCCACTGTGTCTCTGCTTAATGCAAGCTGGAGAATACAACAGCAGTGTGTAAGGTACTGAAACCTTAAGTGTGGCTTTAGTTGATTTGTGAAATTTAAAGGGTGTCACTGCTTGTTTCAGATGCTGAAGAACGGTCAGGTTTTATAATGACGATGTTGACTGTAATCACACGTGCTGTTTGCAATGTCTGCATTGTGTGTCCAGGCTGGAGAATAGACTATGGAGAGGCTTAAAGTACTTCTTAAGTTTCTCCTTGAATATAAATTGTAATATTTTATGTCCTATGGTAAATACAGGACTTAAAAAATTACGGATATCTAGTATCATATTCAGACATTTTACTGACTTTATTTTTGTCTTGCTACAGCTGTCAGGGGTTGTTGACACCTCTCTGGTTTTGCCTCGATCCACAGTGACTCGAGCCTGACAGTACGAGCTCTGCCTGGTCCAAAATTTGAATAAGCCATTCTTGTTTACAACATTAGCTGGCAGTACTCGCAAAAACTGAAGGAAAAAATGCGGCCTGAGTTCGCTAAGCACAATGAGCGCTCTTGACAGTGTTATCAGCAGTGCGCTGCTATATTGACTACGTAACGTATAAGCAGTATGGTACGACATCAAGGCGAGAACGTGTCTTCGGGCTCATATTAGAGGTTGCATTGAGGCAGTCAGTTAGTGGCTTTGATCTGCACTTTGGAAAGGATTGCCTGTCTGAATTCTTATCAAAGACTCGACTAACTTAGTGCTGTAGAAAATGACAGATTTTGTGCCCTAACACCCCCCTCGCCCTTGTATCTTTAAAAAAAGATATTAAACATATGCCGTGTTTTTCATAAACTAAACTGTTTTCATTTTTAATTCAAACTGTGTTTTTCCCTCTTTGCTCTGCTTGTCTGGCAGCTTTCTAGAGCAGCATGTGCGATCTAATTAACACAGTCAGTAAATGCATTGACCAGGTGTGTCACTGTTTGCCTGACAGTGACAGAAAGCTCGGCCTCCGGCTGTCAGGCTGACAGCTCCTGGTGAAGATGACTGTACTCAGGCTCTTTCCAGCCTTGGCTCCTCATACAGACCTGCTTCCTGTCATCGTGCGCACTTGAAAAGTGTTAGGCTCATTATGGATGGCCTCCGTAAATGCTGCTGACAGAGGTATAACTAGCTCCCATAATTTTGGCTCCCAATGGCAGATGCTTCCTGCCAGACAGTGGAGGAGCAGTTATCATTTGTCACTTTTTCTCTGGCTGCCACAGACCTGGACCCCGATCAGCTTGTCCTCGGACCATCAGACTCTCAGAGGAGTCTGATGGTCGCACTCTAACTGTCAGCCGTCATTTGTCAAATGATTCAGGAGACATGCTGACAATCTTGGTCATTTACAGCAATAATCATTTAATGCGAATTTCCTTTAATATCTCCTTAGCTTTTGTTTTTTTTTAAATGTTGTTTTGATTTGTGTTTCAGAAATCCCTCACCCACATTACGACATCCTGAAGAGTGGAGCAGGAGTTTCAGCCATTTCATCAGCCAGTAAGTCTCCTCTGACTTCAGCCTGTCAGCCTTTGTCATCTTACAGTCAAGATTTTGTAGAAAAGTGGTCGTTTTCACAGAAACGGCTGTGAAGAAAGAAACATTTAAATTTGGGCCTCTTGCGGGAAATTACAGATTTTGCTGATTTATGGTGACAAGAAACAAATAGAAGCATTACAGGAATTGATTTGGAAAAAAAGGTGCTGTGGACAGAAGCTCAGACTTCTATCCACAGCACAAACGGTATTAAGGAGAAAAAAGGAGCAGCATTTCAAGAACAGAACATTTTTACTGTTATCTGCTATGTCATAAAAGTGAAACTGAGACAATATCTGCTCTCACAGCAGGATTATGATCCACAGTGGGTTCAGCTTTGAAATACAAGCTGTAGCTTATGAATTAACCTTTTAAATTCCACTGAAGATCTTTGAGGTGACCTTAAAGATGCTGTGAGTGCCAAGGCAACCTAAAAATACTGTATCTCAGAACTATGGGTGATCTACATTATGTCGTATTAGTGCCATTGATGCTATAACAAATACTGAGCTCAGAGGATAATCATTCTGAGAATTTCTCAGCTTGGGTGCTGGTAAAGCTCAGTGGGTTCAGTAGGCAGACTGTTTGCTGTGAGGCTGCTGCAGAGGACATGGTTAGAATCCACTGCGTGGCCTTATACTGTGTTGTCTGTTGTCTCTCCCACTGTCCTATCTCAGTAAAGGTCTGAGATTAAAGCCATAGATTTACAAGAAGAACTTGACATACACCAAAAGTCTGTAAAATTGTATAGATTTACATTTACTGGATAAAGTAATACTACCTTTCAAAATATGTTCATGAAGAATGTTAAACATTAAATGTTCCTGGAAAAATAATACTACTAATTTTAAATATAATACTTTCATTACATTGCCTCAAATAAAAGAGAAAACTTCAAATAAGAAAAGGTCAAATGTACAAAGCAATAAAAACTGTGGATAATTAATTGAATAATTATTAATTCATTAGTTATTAGTTTTCACATATGGCAGTTTTTATGTCACCAGTCGTCTGTTCATGCACAGAGTATACTGAAAGAAGAGCTGGGCTTGTTTTTGTCATAATTATGTGATACACCCAGTGAGTGCTGGTCAGCTGGACCTTCAGATAATTTTATGATGAGAGCTGTTTTCTACAGACAGATAACAAAAAAACAGAATTAATTGAAGAGGTCACTAAAACATGACCTCTGAAATTTAATTTAGACGTGACTCTCGTAAATCTGTTTTCGTTTTGTTTTTGTTTGCTTTTATTATTTTTAGTGCTTTATTAATGTCGTTCTGAAGCGTGTTGATGTGTGTTTTTAATGGAGTCCCCTAAATGATCAGCTGCCCTTACCCTAATGGGAATCCAAATAAAAAATACCATGTCAGTGCCTCCACACATAAGACAAATAATAAGACAAATCTTTTTTCTTTTTTTTTGCATTACTATTTTAGTAGTGCAATGAGTGTGTGAAACTGTAAAACATATGGAGACAGATCTGTACATCAGGGGGGAATGTGCATGTAAATATAGAGGGAACTGAAATTGATATTTTATTGCCCGATTCTATCAACCTCTCTTTCTATTCATTGACTTTCTTTTGTATAAATCTGCCACAGAGGAGCAAACTAATTCACCTGAGTTATCAGTGCTATCTGAGGGCCAGATAACTTATCATTTCCTACACTGTGCAAAGCTAATAATGTCAGAGGTGGCTTGTAGTGGAGGCCTAGAAAATACAACCCTAATATCTACTGCAGAGAGGCGTGCAGGCCTTAACTGTAATGAGAAAATAAATTCAATTTGTTTGGAGGGTTATTTGTGTAGGGATGGTTTCTGATTGCATTGGTGGAAAAAAGAGTAAAAACAAGCAGACGTCATCTGCCTCAAAGGCCTGTTGGATTTTTTTTTATGTCACTTCAGTTTTTGATTGGTCAGGAGGCATATTTCTCCTTAAATCAGCACAGATATTACTTTTTTACAATGTCATTGTCCTGGTTTTTATTGGCTACTCTTTGGATTGCAGCTCTGTAATCTGGGTTAATGGATTGTGTGATATCATATCAAAGTTAATCTCCTCAAACAAAGCCCACCAGAGTTCAATGTGAGGAGGCTGGACAATGTTATCAAGCTTTGCAGGCTTTTTGTGAACCCTCTGACAGTCCTGTCAGGCTTGTTGTGTATATGTGTGTGTATGGAAGGAGGAAACTGAGGCGGAGGGTGGGGGGGATAATAAATCCATCACCGGTGTCTGCACTTGTGCAGCCAAAGAACTGACTCCTATGACAAAGTGGCCTGCCTTTCAGTCTCCCAGCAGCACAGCCTTGCTAATAGCAGCAACCTCCACTTAATGTTCTGACGCTAATGAATTCATGGAATTAACTTTCTGAGCCTAAACTGATAAAAGAAACAGAATTTCAGTGTCGATTAGGTGTTAGAAGCTAGATCAGTGTTTTTACTCCTATCTTTCCTCTGAGTGCAATTGTTGGGGTTCAGAATCTTTTAAGTCTTTGGCTGTAAACGAACAGCACGAATCTGGATGTCTGGTAGATGTATCGTGGCACTCGGGTAGTGATTTCCAGTCTAGCAATATATCAAAACTGTCAGAGGGTGAAGCCAAACGTGTTCTGCGGGTGTTTCAGTGTGTGTGTGTGGCGCAGAAGAGTCAATATTAGAAGAGCGTTTGTATCAGCAAACTGACATCAGTGGCTGAAGGGTTGCTGCAGGCAGGCCTGTATCACAAAGTGACATCACTTGCTGGCAAACACTGCAGATCACAGATAGGACCTGCCGCTGTGCCACAGCAGGGCTTGTTTGGACTCGGGGCCATGGTGATAGTGACCATGTGGTCCTCGGAGAAGGATCGATTAGTGACCCACGCTTAAAAACACTTGCAAGCGGCACCGCACTGGTATGAGTATCACTCCCAGTTGATCCAGACAAATCAGCTCCCCGCAATGTTCAGGTGACTGCACTTAACTGTTTAATTCACTCTGATTTATAGACTGATGAAGGACAGTTTGTCTGTCTGAGGGTTTTAGAGGTAACTGTGTGATATTTTGTTGCTTTAAGGTGTCTGATAAAGGATTTTGAGGCACGTCCATCTGTGACCCACCTTCTGGAGCACCCCTTCATCAAGCAGGCCCATGGCAAGGACATAGCTCTCCGTCAGCAGTTAGCAGCTCTCATCCAAGAGCAGCAACAAATAGGCTGCAAAACCAAATCCAAGTAAGTATCCCAAATCTTATGTTTGTTTGTTTTTTTTAAATTTCCCTGTTATGAAATAGTAAAGATGCAAACTGTATTAGTTCATTTGGATGTTGAAGATCTCTATTTCATTGATAGGCATGGATTGGGTGCTGATATTTTTTCTGTCCAGTAGGGGGCAGGGTCTCATCTTCTTACACTCCAGCACAGAAATGAAGATGAAACAGAGTAATGGAAATTACAGTATGTGATTAAAGAGAAGTAAGGGCAGTATGACTAATTCAGAAGGAGTTATTGTGCTGAGTAACCTTAGATTAATAAATCCCAATTAGTCCAGTGGATGTACTTAGTACACATCACTTCTCCAACCAATTAACCCAATGATGGAATAATTAAATATAGATTTGCACCCAGAAATAGGTGACATGGCAGCATTACAGCCTGTTCACTTTTAATGAGCTAATTAGTTATTTCCTTCATTAATTAAAATAGCAACTACCTTACAACCTCCTTATGTGTGTAAAAAATGAACACAGCCATATGAAAAGGCACATGTTGAAAGTTAAATCTTCACCCTGACACTCACATGGCAGCAAGCGACAGAGCAGAAAGTCTCCTGTTTACTGGAGAAATACTGACTTTGGCATTGCTTAATCTTCATTATAAAGGAGTTTGCTGAACCTGCCCTTGACTGAGAGTCTTGATGTTGTGCCAGCTCTGTTTACTCCCGAGAGTGTGCAGAGTCTGTGCCTGAGCCTGATCCCGAATTCCTGTCCACAGTGAAAGTGGATAATGGGATTAGGAGCTTGTAGGGCGAGAACTGGGCTCGCCTGGTTTAGTCTCTCATGCCACAGATCAGCAAACAATGACTCCAGATAAGAATAAAGACATAGAGAACTTAAAAGTAGCTGCCGTAGGTGGAATAGTGTGATTTACTTCAAAGCAGGAGCGAGTGAGACGCTAGAGGTCTCAAGTCTTTCTCTAAGGGACATGATGACGGGGATTGACTTTATAGGGACTACATACTGAGCATATTTCTGTGCTGTTGCATTTACACTATATTCAGAATAGAGAATTAATTCAAAAAGTAGATGAGGAAAAAGCTCCTAACCTGAAGCTTGAATTTATATTTCGAGCTAGTCTTATGATTGTATATTTATTATAATGGAATATGGATGCATGTTACAAATGTGACAAAAGAAAAGAAAAAAACAATTGTTTGTGCTTTTGTTGAAGCCCCAAACCACCAAGCATTAAAATTAGGTTGCACAATGCAACCTAACTAGTCCACGTTTAGAGATTACTTGTTACTGTTGCTTAACCCTTTTTTATCATAAGCTCTTCAGGCTTACGAGTCAAAGAAGTGAAATGTTATGTTATGGCTATCTCAGTATTACTATATGATTTCGCTGAGTACATTCGGCAATATTATTATTGTGGTTTCTAAAAAAAAAAGAAAGAAAAAATCTGTCAAGTTCATTTTTAATTGTATTTGCTTTTTTCTTCTTGTTTGGAACGTTAATAACTCTGGAAACAAAAGTGGTGAAAGAAATGTTAACGCTATCCAAAATGCAATATTGCTCCCTGTGTTGTAGTACCAACCACAAAGCTACTGGTTATTTATAGAAGTGCATGCTGCAGTATTGTTTAGTCTGTCGTGCTGCTAATAAACTGATGGACTTACAAAAGCAAAAATAAAAAAACCAAAGTAAATAAAAACTAGGGGTGTTAGATGTTGTTTAGATATAAATGCACTGCTTCCCCTTTCAGCCACACACTTTCCACCCCATTCAAGTATATATAATGAAAAATTGGTATGAAAGATTTTGTTCAATCAAATATAAAAATCACATGGTCAAAGAGGATTTCACAATTACCTATACGTGTAAATAACATGCTGGAATTATATTCCAGCTAGACTCATTCTAGTAGCTTTAAATGCCTTTGCCTTAAAGTACAAATATACAAATATTTTTCTAATATTAAAATCTTGATATGGTCTACAAATACAGAAACCTTGATTTCACAAGGTAATGTGACAATAAGTGTAATTTATTATATGGAAATGCAAATACAATTTGGAGATGCATAACAAAATGAGTGTATTGGTATTTACTAAAGTAGATGTTGCTGTTGTGAAATTAAAACATTACAGAGCTTAAGTGTCTTATAGGAAGATAAGGAAATGGGTCACTTTAGCCCAATGGTGTGTGGTTGCTGTGCAACATGATGTCATAATAGAACCTTCAGTGATTTGGTGTATTATAAAAAGGTTATCATAGGAGGCTGGACAATGAATATTTATATTATTAGCACAATATAAATATTTGATTGCTGAAAAAAAAACTTAAATAACCCCCCTAAATTTAAGAAAGATTGTAAGTTTGATTTTTTTATGCTGTCTTAAGCAACTATTTTTGGCAGTTATTCTCAGATTTGTGACACTTTATTGACTTTTTAGACTGTAGATGGCCTTTGACTGGATGTTGCTACAATTGGCTCCCAGCAAGATTTTCACACTGAAGTCTTTATTGGAACAAAGTGGGTTAAGCTCAGCAAAGGGCTAGATTGACTAGCTAGTACTGGTAGTTACTCACTTGTAAAAGGCTTTGTGTGCAGACTTAACTATTGGAGTCTGGATTCATGGTAGTATATGGGATTATTGACTCCACTAAACCATATTACGCTGATAAAAATGGTCAAAATTTTATGGCTGTTAGGTTTGGCTGACGTCAGTCTCTTCTCTGTGGAATTGACTACATTCATGTTGTCCTAAGCGACTATTATTGGTAGTCATGCTAAGATTTGTGATGCATTACATGTTATAGAAATGTCAAAATGTCCACTCTGTGTTGTGCATATACACATACAGCACACAAAGCAGTAGGCAGTCACAAGCACAGCTCTGTTTTACTCTCTTTCTCACACTCTGTGGTTTCCCCTGAGGTTTTCGTGGAGCCAGCTGGAGGTTTGTTGACCTCTGTCCACAGGGGCTCTTTAGAGAGTGATAGGTCAAAACATGAATAAAGTGCAACCACATCCTGTGATAATAGGAGTTCTGTCCCCTGGGAAAGCTTAAAGGGCCTCGTGAAAAACGTGGAAGTGACTGGGTATTACATTCAGCCAGTCACACTACTGTTTCTCATTTAGTGGTCACTTTACAGGCTTAAAAGGCATCTCGTGTCCTTGACTTCATACAGGCACGTCCGGATCAATACTCGTAAAACCCTCATAATAGAGAGCTGTCCTGATGATGATCTGGTGAACCTGGAGTTCTTAGACGAGGTAGGATTTTATGTGTTTATCTCGTCATGCATTGATCAGCCCAAGCTGAAAAGTTGTTGATTTTAGGCTGCGTGTGTGTGTGTGTGTTTTCTTTTCTGCAGGAGACAATCATCAGCCATCTCCACAAGAGGTATGATGAGCTGCAGGTGTACACTTACGTCGGTGACATCCTCATCGCTCTCAATCCTTTCCAGAATCTCAGCATCTACTCTCCTCAGGTCGGTAACACATCAGTCACAAATCGTTTTTGTGTTTTTTTACAAACACAGTGGAAATGATGAATGGATGCCAGTCACGATGCAGGTTCTGCTTTAGTGGATACTCTATTTGTAGGGCTAGTTATTGTTATTATTATTATTTTGTTTTTATTCACAGTAACAGCAACTATTATGGCAATTGTCATATTAGTTAGTGCAACAATCTGTCCCCCAAATCAGATTTTTAAAAATTAATTTTCTGCTCAGTCAGTTTAAATCAACTATTTTTAATCTTTTAAATTACTCTAAACATCTTTAATGCATAGTCAGCAACTTTGCATGCATTTTTCCTCAAATTTTCTCTTCACTGGATATCCGATATTGATATTATGTGACGCTGCAGAGTTTTGTCTTCTCCAAGCTGTTGGTTGTTAATTTCTTCAAAGCCGTAATAAAAATAAGTCTTCATGAATACTTTTATGCCCCTTTTAGTTCTCTAAGCTGTACCATGGCGTAAAGCGAGCTGACAACCCTCCACACATCTTTGCTACTGCAGATGCAGCTTACCAAGGCATGGTGACATTCTGCAAAGACCAGGTATCTTCCAGAAAAGTGACTGAATAGGTTGAAGCATTGTACCGTGCAATCCTAAAGCTGATAGAATAATAATGAAAATTATTTTGTATAAAGCACTGTAGGTTTTACAAATGCTTTCGAGCAATTTCTTTTAATTACAATCAGTTATTTTTTAATGTCGATTTGGAAACTTTTGGACAAAAGCAAAGGAGCAAGGAAATGTTAGTAAATAACATATGAAAAAATTATGGTATATGATGTCAGTGTTCCCGCTTGATGAACTGTTATCTCGTTTGTTTAGTGTATCATCATTAGTGGAGAAAGCGGTGCTGGGAAAACAGAAAGTGCTCATTTAATTGTTCAGCATCTTACTTTCCTGGGAAAGGTACTGCATAGTAGCTCTTTGGTCACTATTTTTCATCATCATTTCTAACTTGTTAATACCAGACTTAACTACTTCATATAACTACTTCATAAACTATCTTAAAAATCTACCAGAGTTCATGAAATAATTATTTTGTTGCTCTCAGGCAAACAATCGGACACTCCGTGAGAAGATTTTGCAGGTTAACCCTCTCGTCGAGGCCTTTGGAAACGCTTGCACGGCAATCAATGACAACTCCAGTCGCTTCGGCAAGTACCTGGAGATGAAGTTCACGCCGACAGGAGCGGTTATTGGGGCCAAGATATCTGAATACCTGCTGGAGAAGTCGAGGGTCATCAAACAGGCTCCGTAAGCAGCTGCCCTTGCTTTTTTCCTTCCTGCGGTTGGATTTGAGTAATTCATCTAACTTCTTCTTGTTTTTCCTTCAGAGGGGAGGAAAATTTCCACATATTCTATTACATATATGCCGGCCTTTACCACCAAGACGAGCTGAAGACTTACAGGCTGCCAGATGGGACACCTCCCAGGTTTGTGATGCAAATAATCCCATCACTCGCTCCTCACAATGTGGAAACTAATTTGACTGTCATAACATGAATCTGCAGGTACATTGACAGTCAGCACTGCAAAGTGATGCAAGACATTGTGTCAAGGAAACAATATAAAGAGCAGTTTGATGCCATTCAGGAGTGCTTCCGAAATATCGGCTTTACAGAAGAGGTACTAAACACTCAAGCAATCACATATGCAATGTTTGGGCACAGATCTATTGAGAGCTGTAATATATAAAATACGTAATATGTAACAATTTTCTTTTGATATCTTGTTTTTAGGAGGTCGACTCTGCTTACAAAATTCTCTCAGCAATTTTGAATACTGGGAATATTGAATTTGCCTCCATCACATCCCAGCATCAGACCGATATTAGTGAAGTGCCTAACTCAGAGGCCTTAGAGAACGGTGAGATGTTAGGCAATGTGTGTTGTAAGCATAGACTGTAAATAAAAAATGGTCATCGGTGACTCCCATAAACTTGTACGACCTGAAGTGTTTTAGGAAGTTAATCACTGGCTGCAAAAAAACAGGATTGTACATCTTTAGTTGCTTTAAAAACAAGAACTTGTAGGGTGTAGTGTGATTTTGAATGTATCTTGGATATTCTCTAAACCACACATGGTCAAAAGTATGCATATAGGCTCAGACGTATACATTACCTCTCACTAATATTTGGTTAAATGCCCCTTAGCAAGCTGCACCATGATCAGCAAGCTTGGGTATTTGACCAATCTTGTTGGGAGAATTGGTAGAGCTCAGCTGGCTTTTAAATAAAGTCCGCAAATTGTTATCCATCCCCAAAATAGTTTAGATGTGTGTTTGGGATCATTGAGCTGTTGATTTGAGGTGATGTTGTAGAATTTGAGAAAAGGGAATCTTTCCACTTTCCACTTTAAATATCTGCAGTATAACCATGTTATAGTTTGTTATTATAGTATTGTGATAAGATGCAGTAATCTCTTCACTGTGAAACTGATTGACTGTCTCGCCTTTTTCTCAGCTGCGTCTCTCCTCAGCATTGGACCCGAGGAGCTCCAGGAAGCACTTACCTCTCAGTGTGTGGTCACGAGGGGCGAAACCATCATCCGCTCCAACACCGTGGACAAAGCCTCCGATGTCCGAGACGCCATGTCCAAGGCGTTGTACGGACGCCTGTTCAGCTGGATAGTGAATCGCATCAACTCACTCCTGCAGCCTGACATGAATGTTTGGTCAGTGCGTGCTAGTGATGAACAATTTGTTTGCATGCCCACTGTTTTTGTCTTTTCTGTAATTTCTTGGGGTGTAATTTCTCACTCAGTTTCTGAAAAGCTCTGATGACCTTTCTGGAAGTCTGCAGAGGTAGATGCAAACATGAAGAGGGGAATATCAATGGGAAAGCACAAGACAAGCAAAAGGAGAGCAAAAAAGAAAAAAGTTTTAATAAATTTTTGATACAGAGTTGCGTGCAGAGAAAATAATGTTCAGATGATTAAAAAGACTTCAGAGAGACTGCAAAGAGGCTTTTCATTGATCCAAAAGAATTCCTTCATAAATATGAGCATTGACTGTCAAGGAGTCGTCTCTCAGAGATGAAGCCAGAGTTCCCGTCTGCATTCCAGTCATCTTAGCCGTTTCCTTATTGCCATTAATAACCTGGTAGCACTGGTTAAAGGTGACCTCTACATACTGTGGGTAATGACTGATCATGAAAGTAGCAGCTCCAAGCACTGAATATAAAATACAGGATCATAAATATCTATGCTGTGTTGCAGAAGTGAGTATTGTTAGTGCAGAAACTGAAAATAACTGGAGGTTAAATCAATAGAGACTGAAATAAAAGCCATTTAAGAAGATCTGACTTTTTCAAAGACTGTGTTTATAATTTCTTGTCAGACTAGGCCATCCAGGCCAGACTCCGTATTTGGGTGGAACTTGGATTATCATTAAAGTTTTATCAATTAATATGGCTGCTGGGGATTTGCTTGTTCCATCGCATAGAAGAATAAGTTTGTTTGTCCCCCTTTTTTTCCTTTGAAGTGCCGTAGAGAGCGGCATGAATGTGGGAATCCTGGACATCTTTGGATTTGAAAACTTCAAGAAGAACTCGTTTGAGCAATTGTGCATCAACATCGCAAACGAGCAGATTCAGTTTTATTTCAACCAGCACATATTTGCTCTCGAACAGGTGAGTTCTTCATGCATAAATAGGTTTTAAATGATCCGCTCTAATGCACAAAGTAGAAGATACCACTGTAATGTGTTTGGGGTGAAAGAATAACACAAAATATGCAGAGAATATTCCATTTAAAACACTATTATGGAAATTAGTCACTTAAATAAATTTGGTGTTTACACAGTTACCAATTCAGAAAAGCTCTCAACATTAATTTTTCCTACAAGTCACCCCAAATTACTCTCTTAATTGATTTAATGAAGCTGTTTACCCTGAAGTGCGAAAAGCCTTTTTTCCTCGATGGAGATGAATTGACATCAATCAGAAACCCTTTTGTTTGAAGTAACTTTGCAACAGTCCTTTTTAAAGAGAACTCAAGAAAAGTGGCTCGGTTTAGTGATGTGGCACATTTTCTCATTAGATAGCTCAGTGTGCATTTCTTTAGAAAAATACAAACTATTATTTATTGAGGCCAAACTCCGCACGGCATATAGACTAATAATAGCCTCTGCACTTTCATTTACATTCTCATTTTTAGCGCTCTCCAGGACCAGAAGTGTTATTGGAAGCTACATTTTCCCCGTTCAGATTAATTATAGCAGTGATCTCTGAAAAAAAGGCCTTTAGCTTGTGGAAAACATCCTCCCCTGATGTAGGGCTAATGCTCGGTGGAAAAGGGATCTTTATTTTGTGTGTGGATGTCTTCAGTCTTGCTGTACACAGAAACTGATTATTCTGACTTAATGATTTAAACATGAGGATGGTTTAGATCCATTGGTTCCACTTTATTAGTAAAATATATATTTAAAACAACTTTTTGATCTGAAATTAAATAGATGCAATAATGTGATTTGACTCTGGGTTATTTGCACATTGAAATAAATTATGAATAAGTAAGTGGCTCTATTTGTTGGTTTGGAGCTGTTCTGTTTTATGCATTCAGTAAAAGACTCTATTACGCTGTAAACTTCAGCCGTAGACACACACAGCTGGCTGCAAGTGTGTGGTTTGCTTGATTAGAAACTCTTTTTTTTTTTTTTTAAACCACACATGCACATTGCATATTTAGCCTAGATTGTTTAATTGGGTCATTTAGGGAAACCATAACTAGATTATTATTCTGCATTCACTGGTTCTAATTAGATGGAATACCAGAGCGAGGAAGTTGATGCCAGCCTGGTGGAGTATGAGGACAATAGGCCCATTCTGGACATGTTTCTGCAGAAGCCCATGGGTCTGCTGTCCCTGCTGGATGAAGAGAGCCGCTTCCCTCAGGCCACCGACCAGACCCTAGTGGGTAAGATTGGAACTACAGTCGCAAACATGCTGAGATGTAGCACATAAAATAACTCGGTTACATAAGAGTTCACAGATCAATGCATAAGGAGCCTTCACGTGCCATACTTTTCTTCTACATGTCTTCTTTACAGATAAGTTTGAGGACAATTTGCGCTGCAAATATTTTTGGATACCAAAACGAGTGGAGCTTTGTTTTGGAATTCAGCACTATGCCGGACAGGTATCAGATACTTCATTGGATGTGTTTAACTAACAATCTACTGCCTTGATGATGATGATGGGTGTGAGCATGTAAACCAGTGTTCAGGCCTTTGAAATGCTTGGTAAAACCTTCTATTCTGATTATGCCTTTATTTTGAGTATTTCATAAACATCTGCATACTTTATGGAAGGATTTTTCTCTACATCTGTTTTGGGGTCTGATTAGGTTTGTTGTGACTTAAAAAAAAATTATTACATCCCATATAGAGAAAAATAGGAAACAAAATCCTATAAGTCTGTGAAATTTTACTAAAAAGTCTATCTTGATCCTTCACATTTTCTCATAATGTTAACTTTTTTCATACCTATTTCTTATAAATATCTTATATGAAGAAAATGTGAAAAGAGACACTTTTTTGAGTGGATTATAATATGAGACATGCATATGAAGAGTGGCACAGTGCAGCAGTGGTTAGGACTGGAGCCTCACAGCAACAAGGTCCTGGGTTCAAATCTGCCACCCAGCTGGGGCTCCCTACAATGAGTCTACCCTCTTTCCCTGCACCTGCATAGATTCTCTCTGGGTACCCGAGCTCCCATACTACAAAGATCTGCCTGTGTAGGTAACTGGTGATTCTAATTTGGCCAAAGGGGTGAATGTGAATGGTTGTCTGTTTCTCTGTGTTATCCCTGTGACGGATTAGAAACCCTGCCTGTCAACTCATGACAGCTAGGATAGACCTCAGCCCTTTTTTCCTGTTTCCCTTCTTTAAGAATGGCTTCTTGACAGCCATCCTTTGCTGGGAAACCATTTTTGACGAGGGTTCAGCAAACAGTAGATTTCTTCCTATTTCTTAAGGCCATGACTTTCAGATACTGTTCATCTGCTAGACTTTTTTTAGTGCTGCTACTTCTTCCTTTGTCCTTTAGTTGTTCAGTTTCCTCAGATTTTTTAATGACATACTGCACACCATGCCGAGATATGCCAAGCTTTCAGCTAATAGCTCTTTGGGAATCACCAAGCTGTGTGAACTGTGTTATTGGAATTTTTCATAAATCCAGGACTGGATAGCGGCACAGCAAACCTATCGCATGTCACTGAGGAAAAACGCAGGTGTTTCTAAAAACATCTGTATTCCAGTAAGCTTTGACAGTTTGGCAGAAGCAGCATGCGCAACACCGGCAACTGAACCTCAAATGGATTTCAGCCATCAGTATTTTTATTGCTCACACCTGTGGTTTTTCTGTGGTTAAAAGGAACATCAGTTTTCTCTGGGATCTTTTTACCCTCACATAAGATGTGTGTGTGTATATATATATTTATATATATATATATATGTATATATATTAATTAAACCATACCCCAGCATTAATTTCAGCCTTATCATAGAGTGATGACAATTCAGATTCAGAAAATGTGAATTGACTGTTACACGTACGTGTATTTCTCATGTCCTACTCAACAGGTAATGTACAATGTGAATGGCTTTTTGGAGAAAAACAGAGACACTCTCCCTGCAGACATTGTTGTGGTGTTGAGGACGTCAGAGAACAAACTTTTGCAGCAGCTGTTTTCCAGCCCCTTAACTAAAACAGGTATGATATAATGCTATTTAGAAAATCTCAGCAACTAACCACTAGCCACAGAGGAAATGGAAACTTTCCTTTTGTTAACAATTGCGGGACTATATCACTCAGTGAATAGTGCTGCTGTGTACTCTTCCCATAAATGTTCAGGTAAGTGGGTTTCTTTAAGACGCGACTCCCAGGCA